ACCTCACAAGCTCATTTTAGAATCTAACCAAGTATCAGATAAAACTGCACAGGATGAATTAAATGTAAGTATGTTGTAGCAGGGTAAAGATGACATAACTTTCTTCTGTCTGCAATAAAAATTCCTGTAAATCACAATGAAAATACAAGGGCTTAGATTTTTTAAATGATTCGTTCAAATCAATTTATATGTTTAACTATTGTTGGGAAGCAGACACTGTACTACTTTGATATATTCTGTGTTTGCTCTGAGAATATGGTGTTTGGTTTGTGTTTCTTCTCTTAAACAAAAAGAATGCAATGACAGCTTACAGAACAGAAGGTAGTATCCTAAAAACTAACTGGAATGCAGATGATCAAACTATTTTAGGGAATATGAGGTCATGAAGTCAAATTAAATCCTTATATATTACAATGAATGGTGAGTCAACCCTATAATGATATGTGTTTATAATAAATATTTACTTATTACCTGTCAAAACTGACATTCATTTTTAAGAATTTGTACATTCTTACAAATTTTATTTTATTTATGCTTACACTAAGTAAATAAAAATTGATTTTTTTCAGAAGTACAATTCAAATTGGCCAAGCAAAAGATATCTAATTACGTTCTACAATAAGATTTCTATGGAATTAACTTGCTATCTGAATGATCAAAGCAAAAATTATCATTTACTTACCTGCCACCATTATCTCAAGGAAAATTATGTTACTGTGAACACGTACTTCTTTCAAGTAATACATTGAAAGGTACATTGACTTGTCATTGTTTTGGTTTAAAATATTACTTCTATTTTATTCCTTATTTCCAGATGTGTTAGCGTCTGACACTGTCCCCAAAGTATTTCAAAAAAAAGAGTTAACAGAGAATATGAAGAAAACAAAGCAAAATAACAGCCCACACAGGACAGACTGATCAAGCTCTACAGCCAGTGTTAATGAAACACCAGAGCCTCAGGACACTGAACATTTATTAGCAATTTAGATGAAGGTCATTGTCCTGCAACAGGCTTCCCTGCTTTACAGGATAAAGCCCTTCTAGTGAGGAACTTTATAGCAGCTCAGGAAAGAAGGTAAGCACTTGAAACATTAAGTAGATGCACTGCTTTCTTTCAGCTACCTATTTAGTTGTTCACTGGCAAAATCTGGCTCCCTAAGTCACTTTTATGAGATATAGAAAAACTGCCCCTTTCACAGTCAAGGAATTAACTTACTGCATCTTTTTCAGGGTTGCAGACTTTCACCCAGAGAATATGGTCCAAGAGCCAATCAATGGGTTTCTCCTTATAAAACATAAATATGAATTCTACGATCAGAGTGAGGTCCGGTGCTTGAAACATTTTACCTGAAAAGACATTCCTGGTCAATAAAGAAACCAAGCATCAAAGTGGCTTAAATGAGTGAAACTTGTATACTAAATACACTAAAGATTGTGCTTTCAACTATAAATCATCATGGGTAATTCCCCTCCTTATATTATCAAAAACGAACTTGCTTTAAGTAAACATTCTCTTGAGCTGTCACCTGGATATAAACAGAAACAGTGAACTCCTGACATTATTACAAAACCTATCA